GCATTCTTTTTGTCTTCTAGTGCATCTAAGACCTTGTCGTAGTTTGTGAATTAATTTTGCGAAGATTTTACATAGGGGCAAATTTGATATAGGCCTATAGATGTTCAGTTCAGTTGGACCACCTCCTTTGAGGATCGGAGTGACCCTTGCTATCTCGAGGATGGATGGGAAGGTGAAAGATTCAATGGAATTGTTAAAAAGAGTTGCAATAACTGGTGACAACACGTGATAAGTTTTTTTTTTTATACATGAGTGGTGGTAAGTTATTTAGGTCTCCTGCCTTGTTCTTTAGTGTTTTGATGTTGAGTGAGATTTCAGAAGTTTGTTGGGGCTACAAGTAGAGTATTTGGGTAGTTGCCAGTGAGGTAGTCTTTTGGTTGAATGTTTGAGTTTGGGATTTTGCTTGCTAGCTTTGTGTCTACGGTCGAGAAAAAGACATTAAGTTTGTTGGCAATATCTGTTGGCTGGATGAGAGGTTCTTCTGGTTTCGTCAAGTTAATGATTTTGTTTTGTGACAACTTTTTAAATCCTAGAATTTCAGCTAAGGTTATCCAGGTCTTGTTCATATTACCTTTTATGTCATGAAATCTGTCACAATGTCTGACTTTTCTGGGTTATCCTAGGTTCTCTTCACATATGCTGCTATGTATGATAATCTATGTAACTGTGTGCATACCTGAATAAACTTAGTTGTCATGATTCACGAAATCGTAATGACACGATTGCAAACAAACCATACCACGGGTGGGGTTTGAACCCGCGGTCAGAGAGTCTCAAAACTAACGCGACGGTCTGGAGTTTTGAGACTCTGACCGCGGGTTCAAACCCCACCCATGGTATGGTTTGGTTTACTCATCATCGTATGACAGAGCTGCGGCAAACAGACTGGGAACAATTTGTCAATGGTCTCAATGCTCACACCCCACTTAGCCGGGCATGGAGGGACAAAAATAGAATTAAGGGTAACAGAACTGGGCAGATCGCGCCCCTTTCATCCCTTGCATAGGGCAAAATTAGTTAGCCCAGTGTTTGGGGCCCTGTACATCTAGCTATACAGTTTTTTCCCAGTACCCACACGGGGGGGCAAAATTAATGGGACAAATATGATGAAAGGGGGAAAGAGACTTGTTTGTTTTATGCTCGCAAGGCAGATGACTGAAAACATTAATTTCCTAATTATGAACTTGATGAGCACTAACAAAAGGGCAACCCAAATCGCTTGGTGAGGTTTGGTTTAATTATTTACAACAACCCCAGATTGCTGGGGACAAATACCGGGTTAATCCTTTATTTTAATTTAATAAAAACATGAGTTATGTCATTTGGGGGTCCCTAAATCATGGCCCAAATTTGCCTAAATTATTCCCATTAAAAAAAGCCCAAATAAAAAAAATCATTTCCCCCAATTTATCCTTACTAGTTTGCTTTTTTAAAACTTTTTTGAAAGGATGATTCTTTTTCTTTCTTATGCACAAAATTTAAAGGGAAATTTTCTTGTCACCCCGGGTTGAAAGGGCTTAAATGCAGGGAAGGAGTGTGCATCATTGCAAAACCACCTTTCCCATTTCTGAAACACTAAACAGCCCCTACACTACGTTCCTTGCCCTTAAATCCGCTTTTTGATTTTAGCCAAACAACAGTAATCATTAGTGAACTTGCCGAAGGGAATTTTGGGAGGGTTTGGTTTCTCCGCTGGTTTAAAGGTTACCTGTCTAACAGAAAGTCGTCTGTTTTTTGTTGGGGGAAATAGAAGTTTTAACTAAGATTTTAAAATTGGGAAAAACCCACAGGGGGGTTGGCTTAGTCCCACCCTTTTAAACTTTTTTGATTAAGGGCCTTACTTAATGCCATGCCTACCACCCCCATTTTTTTAAGGTTATTTTTGGGCTAAAGACATAAAATTCCCACAACCGGATTCCCCAAAACCCCCCAAAACTTTCTTAATCATGTTTTGCCTCGGGGTTCGGGCCCTGGGGGTTTAAATAATTCGGGGGTTTAAAAAAAAAGATACTCAAAAGGGGGCCCCTTCCTGCAGAGAGGCACGGGTTTCGTCAACCCATTTGGGAAAGATGGGTCTCTTCTAGAAATGAAAGCGATAAAGGTTTTTTTGGCTTTGGGGTTTCCACATTTGGAAAACCTGTTGTAACGAGACTTTTTTGGGCCAATAAAAAGAAAGGCTGAAGCACTTAAAAGTTGTGGCGGGTTTTTAATCCCAGGTTGGTGTTTAATTTTTAAAATTTTTGAAAATGATTGTATTTTTTGCTTATATTAGATCTTTGGGTTTGATTATGCAGCCCCCCAATTTACTTGCATTTCGTGTCTGACTGGAAGTTTTGGAAAGGGCTGGAAAAAAATGCAAAACGAAGCAATGGGATCATCCCTAGGTTCCCTCTTTACTCCCAAAAATTTTTAAAAAATGCGGAAAGAATTTAATATTCCAAGATTAGAGATCGTGTTACTGAAAAATATCCTTTTGGGGCCCCAATATGCTTAGGCTAGCCCTTTAAAAACCCCTCCCAAAGAACCCCTCCAAATTTTCCCTTTACCTGGTGAAAAACCCCTTCCAGAGGGAAATCGAAAAAACTGGAACCGACCTCCCGCATAAACCAGCTACATAAACTATATCAATTTGGCCCAACAGAGACATTTTCCCTGAAAATTGGGAAATTTTAAAACCCCCATTCCAAACTCCCTTTCCCCCCAACCCCCCCCAAAAACTCTTTTTAAAATAAAACCCCAAAAAGGGCTTCGTCTTAACCAAAACATGTTTGCCTTAAAAGCTGTATTAAAACCTTAGTCAACAAAAACAATCTTTCACAAATTTTTTAAACGTCAGGGTTTTCTGTTAACCAGTCCCCTGGTGCAGCGGGTTAGGGGCTGCGTTTTCACCATGGTGTTGGCTTTCAAAAAAAAAATTGGAGCACCGCATCAAAAAAACGGGGGGCCTCTCCCCTTCAAACAGAACTTTTTTGGCCAAAAACCCCTTGCATAAAATTGTGTCCATGTATCTAAGGTTAAAACATTTTTTTTTGGGTAACTGTTTCTCTGTCATCCATAAATGCTCTTAAACTCATTTAAGTATAAATTGGGGCCCTCCCTTTTGTCGGGAAGCCAGCATAGATATGGAAAGGATTGTGGAGTGGAGTCAGAGTGCACCCTGCTGTGGGGTTTCCTCTCACATTGGTCTTTCAGGTTTCATGATAGAAAATTTATAAATTGGCTAAGCTGTATGCTTTCAAAAAGGGGGTTTTTTTTTTTGTTTTAAAAAGTTTTTTATGCACCCCCCTACCCATCCTGTGGGGGGTTGAAATTCAAAAGATTACAGGGGGTACATAATTGGCCCCGGGATGGACTTTCCCAAAATTTTTTTATAAATTTACAAGTTTCCAAAAGGTAATGAAAATCACAAATTTTCAAAAGGAAAACTCACAATTTTCAAAGGGAATGAAACTCCCCAATTTTCAAAGGTAATGAATCCAGGTAAGTCTGGTCACAATCATGACAATTCAAAGGTTTTTTTACCCGATTTCAGAGGTACGTTAAAGGGGCCCGGGGCTGGGCCCCCCCAAAATTTTGAGGGGGGAGATTACCAAACTTTGGGTTTTTCATTTAGCTTTTTAGAACAATAATCAAAAGAACTTCAAATGAAATTTTTTTGATTAAGAATTAGGGAGTTGACACAAGTCATCAAACTATCATCATTCCTCATGCAAAGGGGGAAACCACATTCCCCCTGGGCTTTCCAAAAAAGATAAGCAGGGCTCTTGGTGTCACTACGCCCGGGTCCGGTGGGTTTCAAGTATCTTTGGGAGGTTTAAAACACCCCACCCGATGTAGACCAAAAAGAAATGTAAATTTTTCCAGATGGACTAAATTTTCACACCTTGCGTCAAAAATGTACTGGAGTGTGATTTAAAAATTTAAAGAATTTAGAAAAAACCCCAATCAGAAGTGTTTAAGAAAAGGCTAATATTTATCCCCCAGTGGTATTTTTGGGAAAACCATTCTGGAGAAAAACCCTGACTTTGTAGCTTTTAAAAAAACATTAAACCCCATGTGTGAAAGTGTGCCCGTGTGTGTGGTGTTGGGGTGTGGGGGTGTTGTGTGTGTGTGTGTTTTGTTTGTGTGTGTGTGGGTGTGTGTGTGTGGTTTTGTGTGTGTGTGGGTGTGTGGGTGGGGTGGTGTGTGTGGGTGTGGGGTGGTTGGGGGTGGGGTGTGGTTTAGGGGGTGTGTGTGGGTGTGGTGAGGGTGTGTGTGTGTGGGTTTGGGGGTGTTTGTGTGTGTTTGGGGGTGTGTATGTGGGGTTTTTGCGTCCTTGTGTGTATGCAAAATATTTTTTACGCTCCGGGGTTTCCCCAAGTCCGTTTCGGCGCCCCCCCTGTTGGGGTATGTGCGCGCGCGCGCTTTGGTTTTGGGGTAAGTTCCCCTTAATTTTTTTTATTTTTTAATCATTACAATTTTACCCGGTGGCCGTATCAGTGGTTCATTATTTTAATTTGTTCATGACTGTAACCTTTATAGGAGTGAAGCTGATTCATTACCTCTGTAACTTGCCATGATTAGTGACCAGATCTACTTGGAGTTCATTACCTTTGTAACTAGTTCAGCTATCATAACTTTGGGGTCCAGTCACTGGACCCATTATGTACCTTTGTAATCTTTTGACTACCCGCCCACAGGATGGGTATGGGGTGCATAAGATATTAAACTAAAGTGTGTTGTGTGTGTGTGTGTGTGTGTGTGTGTGTGGTGTGTGTGTGTGTGTGTGTGTGTGTGTGGTGTGTGTGTGTGTGTGTGTGTGTGTGTGGTGTGTGTGACTTCAACAATCAATATTTGCACCAATAACTCATTACAGTTGTGACCGGGGTGGAAGTGTGAATTGCTCATTACTCTATAATTTGTTCATGATTGTAGCCAAGTATAAACGAAAAGTAACCATTCTACAGAATTCATTACCTTTGTAACTTGTGAGCTCATTACCTTTGTACCTAGTTCAGCTATCAAAACTTTGGGGGCCCAGTCCCTGGACCCATTACGTACCTCTGTAATCTGTAAATACCTTTGTAACTTGTCATGATTGTGACAAGACTTACCTGGAGTTCATTACCTTTGTAAATTGTGAGTTCATTACCTTTGTAAATTGTGAGTTCATTACCTCTGTAACTTGCTCAGCTATCAAAACTTTGGAGTCCAGTCCCTGGACCAATTATGTACCTCTGTAATCTTTTGACTACCGCCCACAGGATGGGTATGGGGTGCATAATAAACATATTAAACTAAACATCGGGAAGTCGGGTTCGATACGGCATAAGCTGTCACTGACCCTTATAAACCCCAACAAACAAGTTTTCCTCTGGGTCTTTCTACCTTCTTTATTTACGTCAGGATTTGGTAAAAATTTCTTCCTGGACACGGACAGGTAGGACTCACTACGTATAAATATAACAGAGACAGTCAGTGGAGAAAGATAGAGACTCTCTCAATTTAGATCATGTTTAAATGTCAGTGTTTGTGTGATAAGTTTATTCAGGTACACAAATACAGTTACATAAATTATCATACATAACAGCGTATGTGTAGATTATCCACCAGGATAACCTAGAAAAAGTCACAGAAAGTGACTTATTTCCATTGGGATTATTGGGGGTTATTTCCATGGGGGTTATTTCCATGGGGGTTATTTCCATTGAGGTTTTTCTATGGGGTTATTTCCATCAGACAGTTCAGGAAGAGAGCTAAAAGGTACCCAGTGAATGAAGGTACAGAAAGGTACCTCATAATTGAAGGTACCTATAGGTGTGATTTAGAAAAACACGTAAGCAAACACTAGGACATATTTATTAGAAAACGTTTCAGTCCTGGGACCTTGATCACTTCTAACATACAGAGGTAAAAAGACAGTATATATAGGTGGAGAGTGAGGTGTGAGTGACGCATAGTGACCTGAAGAATGCCATATTGGGATGAAGATGGGTAGGTGATGAGATCACGTGACTCCTGTGTTGCTGGGTAGGTGCTGCCCCACCTGGTTGAGTACCATGTATGCTAATGTTTTAGAAATTTTGTGGTTTCCAGTATTATGTTCTGTTGTGTCAGTGATGGCGATTAGTGAGGCTTCTAGACCGTCGGCGTCTAAGGTCTTGTTCGGTGAGAACAATTTTTGCCTCATCTCAGTTCATCAAATGCCCCATGGAATCTCTATGGAGGACACAAGTATCTAATGAATGAATGAAGCTACAGAAAGGTACCTAATGAATAAAGCTACAGAAAGGTACCTGATGAATGACTGAAGCTACAGAAAGGGAGGAGAGTGATTTCTTGTATAGCAAACATTGCTGTAGCTATTATTGTAAGTTGATCCTCTCTTTAATGTTAATATAAATAAGTCAGTTGACATTATTCCTGGTATATCTCCTGTTACTGTAACTGATTTTCACACAGATGAGTTACTTGGGTTTTAACTCTTAAAGTTTAAATAATAAGTTATTACAAGGACCACAGTGGAAATAAGTTATTTGTCTGACTTTATTCTGTTATTCTGGTGAGTAATTTACATGTATGTTACTATGTATGATAATTTGTATAACTACTTATTTATGCCTGTACCTAAATATACTTATTTATACATGCATACATGTATGTATGTATGCCCAGGAAGGCCCTGCTTTACAACACTTCACTTTACAGCGTTCTGCTAATATAGCGGTTTTCAATTAGTATACTCATTCTTCATTTATTCAGACTTCCTACAATAAATATATTCACCACTCACTGTAAGCTAAAGATGAAAATATTTTAAGGTAAGTAATGTGTGTACTGTGTATGCATTTTTTAGGTCTGGCTCTATTGCTCACTTAATATATGATAGTGTAAACATGTTATCAGGCTTTTATATGCATTTGAAAGTGAATAAAGGTTATATTTCACTTTACAGCAGTAGCCTGGAACCTAACCTGCTGTATAAGCAGGGCCCTCCTGTATGTTTGCATGTATGTATGCATGGTATGTATATATATTACATATGTATGGTATGTATGTACATACATATGGTATATATGTACATACGTATGGTATGTATGTACATACGTACGGTATGTATGTATGTACATATGGTACGTATGCATGTACTCACTTATATGTGGTTGCAGGGGTTGAGGGACAGTGCCTGGCCCTGTATGTATTTGCTTATTTTTTATTTATTTACATATATTCATACATATGCAGTAGGGCCCCACTTATACAGCAGGTTAGGTTCAGGCTACCACCATAAAGCAGCAATAGCCATAAAGTGGAACACCCTTTTTTCCACTTATAAATGAATATAAATGCTAGATAACAAGTTTACGCTAACATGTATTAAGTTAGCAATAGAACTAGGTATTAAAAACAATAAAAAAGTAAAATACACATATAGTACACTCATTACTTACCTTAAAATATTTGTAGTTTTAATGTAGGGTGAGATGAGTAGTACAATGGACCTTCAGTTATCGGCCGTTCTGGATATCAGCCAATTCGGTTTTCGCCCACTTTTTTGGCCGAAATTCTATCCTGGTTATCAGCCATTATTTCGGCTATCAGCCATATGGATGCGTCCACCCGCCTCTCCGCCGTATTCGTGAGTCAGTCTGGCTGTCTCTGGGTGAGTGAGGAAGCCTCCATGCATTCATCCAAACATTTTGCTATAATCCATTGTTTTTTGTGGTTAATGATTGAGTGCAACTGCGAAATAAGCAACCATGGGCTCAGAGAAAGTTCCTAGTGAAGTTCCTTTGGTATAGAAAGTGAGAAACACGATAGAATTCAAGGCAGGCAGGCATAGAGGCAAGAAGTGTAGCATGTATGCAGGGAGTGTAGCATGCATGCAGGGAGTGTAGCATGCATGCAGGGAGTGTAGCATGCATGCAGGGAGTGTAGCAGGAAGGCAGGGAGTGTAGCAGGAAGGCAGGGAGTGTAACAGGAAAGGGAGGAGTGTAAAACAGGATGTGTAGCAGGAAGGCAAGGAGTGTAGCAGGAAGACAGGGAGTGTAGCAGCATGCAGGGTGTGTAGCAGGCATGCAGGGAGTGTAGCACAAAGGCAGGGAGTGTAGAAAGAAGGCAGGGAGAGTAGCAGGCATGCAGGGAGTGTAGCAGGAAGGCAGGGAGTGTAGCAGGCATACAGTGAGTGTAGCAGGCATGCAGGGAGTGTAGCAGGAAGGCAGGGAGTGTAGCAGGCAGGGAGAGGGAGTGTAGCAGGCAGGGAGAGGGAGTGTAGTAGGCAGGCAGGGAGTGGACATTTTTTGTGCGACAGGGGTGCAGTGACTCTCAAGCTGGTCCTAGTGGCAGTAAGAGACAAAGAAGGGATGTAACCCCTCCTCGCCTTCTTCCACATGCCAACAAGTCTTCAATAAAGGTATGTAATGTTCATTTATTAGTAAAATTAGTTCTTTATATTTCTTTCTCTTTGTTTTATGTATGTAAAACTATAGTTAATCTTTAAAATATGTATTTTTTGTTAATATTTTTGGGTGTCTTGAATGGATTAATTGTATTTACATTAATTCTAATGGGAAATGTTATTTCGGTTTTCGGCCATTTCGGTTTTAGGCCGACCTTCTGGAACGGATTGTGGCTGATAACCGAGGGTCCACTGTATTTATAGTTAGAAATCAGATGTGGAAGGTATGGTAGCCAGCCAGGCCACCCCACCCCACCCACTTAATACACTATAACATTTAAAGTGTCCCAGAGGGATAAAATGCAGATACAGTTCACTCATTACTTACCTTAAAATATTTATAGTCTTAATGTCATAGAACTCCAGTAGGTTTGTGACACAGGATTTCCCGTCCCTGAAATCGTGCTGGTTGTCGTTGATAAGTTAATTCCTTTCTAAGTGCTCCACCACTCCTCTGATAATCTTTTCCATGACTCTGCATCCTATACATGTCAGTGACACTCCTCTCTCAGGACCCACAGAGAGTTGTTATCCGGCCCCATTGCCTTTGAGGTATCCAGCTTCCTTAGCAGCCTTTTCACTTCTTCCTCAGTTGTATGTATGGTGTCCAGCACTTGATGGTGTACCCCACCTCTCCGTTTTTCTGGAGTCCCTTCTGTCTCTTCTGTGAACACTTTTTTGAATCTCGTGTTAAGCTCCTCACATACCTCGCGATTGTTTCTTGTGATCTCCCCTCCATCCTTCCTCAGCCTGATTACCTGGTCCTTGACTGTTGTTTTCTTCCTGATGTCGCTGTACAACAGCTTTGGGTCAGATTTGGCTTTCACTGCTATGCATATTTCACACCTATGCATATTCATTTCTGGCTCTACAAATGCTCTCCTTATTCTCCTGGGTCCTTTGCCTTCTATACTTCTTCCATTCTCTAGCACACTTGGTTTTGGCCTCTCTACACCTTTGGGTGAATCAAGGGCTCATCCTGGCTTTCTCGTTATTTCTGTTACCCTTGGGTACAAACCTCTCCTCAGCTTCCTTGCATACTGTTGTCATGTATTCCATCATCTCATTTACTGACTTCCCTGCCAGTTCTCTTTCCCACTGAACCCCATGCAGGAAATTCTTCATGCCTGTGTAGTCCCCTCTCTTGTAGTTTGGCTTCATTCGTCCTGCCCTTCTTGTTTCCCCCTCCGCTTGTAACTCTACTGTATATTCAAAGCTCAGAACCACGTGGTCACTGGCCCCGAGGGGTCTTTCAAATGTGATGTCCTCAATATCTGCACTACTCAAGGTGAATACTAGGTCCAGTCTTGCTGGTTCATCCTCTCCTCTCTCTCTCTGGTAGTGTCCTTTATGTGTTGGTACATAAGATTTTCCAGTACCACCACCACTATCTTAGCCCTCCACGTTTCTGGGCCCCCATGTGGCTCCAGGTTCTCCCAGTCGATTTCCTTGTAATTAAAGTCACCCACAGTGTGCAGCTTTACCCTACTTGCATGAACCCTTCTGGCCACTTCAGCCAGTGTGTCAACCATTGTTCTATTACTCTCATCATACTCTTGCCCTGGCCTCCTGCTGTTCTGTGGTGGGTTATACATCACTGCAATTACCACCTTGGGGCCTCCAGAATGAAGTGTTCCTATTATGTAGTCTCTTGCTTCTCCTCTGACTCCTCTCTCCAGCTTAACAAAATCCCATTGGTTTTTGATGATCAGTGCCACTCCTCTCCCACTGTTCTGAGTCACACCACTCAGGTGTTCACCGGACTGGATGACCATCAGGTGACCTGACTCATGAAGCAGCAGCAGCACAAGTCACACTACTCAGGTGCTCACCTGACAGGACACACTATATTAGTTCACTTGTTGTCTCTATACCTTGATAAAATTTCACCCAGGCAAAAATGTTAAAATGAAAGCTTATGCTGGTGTGTGTCTTTTTTCCTCCATTATACACAAGAGTTTATATAGGAACACTAAACGTTCTTCTTGTGTTTCAGATAACTGAGTAAGGTTGATGGTGGTGGTAATACTTCCAAGCTGACATATTGAAGAAACAATACTAATAATCAAGAAATTTTCACATAAGTGAAACTAAACTTGATCTACTGAACAAGTTAACACAGTAATTGAGAACTGACATAAAACAGACATTTTATTAGCTCTGTGTATTAAAAATTTTTTGCACAAATCCTCTCTTGTACAACATGACAGATGTTATAAGAAAAAACCCATACCAGTGCCCCAAATGTTTTAAAGATTTGTCAAATAAATTTAACCTTGAAAGACACATAAAGAACCATCTAGAGAAGCCACACCAGTGCTCAGAGTGTCTGAAGAAATTCAAAGAAACAATTGATTTTGAGCGACACATGAAGGTGCATACTGGAGAGAAGGAATACAAGTGTTCACACTGCTTGGCTGGGTTTTCAAAGAAGTCTGAGTTAGTTAAACATAATAGGATTCACACAGGAGAAAAACCATATCAGTGTCTTCAGTGTCTTAAAACATTTTCCCTAAACTCTTACTTAGCAAAACACATGAAGGTCCATTCAGAAGATAAACCTTTTGAGTGTCCTGAGTGCACTAAATGCTTTAAAAGGAAAACTGAGTTACTTGACCACACAAGGATTCACACTGGAGAGAAACCATTTCAGTGTCCTCAGTGTTTAAAAACTTTCACGCAGAAATCTAATTTAAGAAAACACGTGAAGATACATACAACCGACAAACCGCATCAGTGCTCAGTGTGTTTGAAAAACTTTAAAAGAAAAAGTGATGTAAATACACACATGACCATTCATACTGGAGAGAAACCATATAAATGCTTTGAATGTCTTAAAAGTTTCACACAAAATTCCGGTTTAATAAAACACATGAGAACTCATACGGGAGAGAAGCGTTATCGATGCAACGAGTGCTTGAAAAACTTTGCGTACAAACATAATCTCATAAATCACATGAGAGTTCACACAAAGAACATTGTACATCAACATCAGTACAAGGGAAAAATGCACCAGTGTTTAAAATGCCCAAAAAAGTATTCAAGAAAATGTGATCTACTGTCACATGTGAGAGTCCATACAGGTGAGAGACCGTTACCCTGCCTTGTGTGTCCTAAAAAATTTAAGCAGAGATCTAATTTATCAAAACACACGAGGATTCACAGAGCAGAAGCGCCGTATAAACACTCAGTATCGCTTAGAAACTTTAAACGAAAATGTGATTTGTTAGGTCATAGAATGGTTCATTCAGAAGACAAGCCATACCAGTGTCTTGAGTGTCTCCAAGACTTTTCATAAAACTATTTTAGCAAAATAGTGTGTTCAGGTGGGAATATTGTCACACTGAAGTTACCCCTTGTAGAAGTAGAGGCGTAAATAATAGTGAAAAATACCATTAATGAAAAGAACACGTTCAATAATTATACTTAGAGATAGTCCATTTGGAATATTCTGTGGCCCAGTAAGAATATTCAGTGGTCCAGTAAGAATATTCTGTGGTCGAGTGAGAATATTCTGTGGCCTAGTAAGAATATACTGTGGTCCAATAAGAATATACTGTGTTCCAGTAAGAATATTCTGTGGTCCAGTAAGAGTATATGTACTACTGTGGTCCAATAAGAATATACTGTGTTCCAGTAAGAATATTCTGTGGTCCAGTAATAATATTCTGTGGTCCAGTGAGAATATTCTGTGGCCCAGTAAGAATATACTGTGGTTGAATAGGAATATTATGTGGTCCAGTAAGAATATTCTGTGGTCCAGTGAGAATATTGTGTGGTCCAGTAAGAATATTCTGTGGTCCAGTAGGAATATTCTGTGATCCAGTGAGAATACTCTGTGGCCCAGTAAGAATATACTGTGGTCCAATAAGAATATACTGTGTTCCAGTAAGAATATACTGTGGTCCAATAAGAATATTCTGTGGTCCAGTAAGATTATACTGTGGTCCAGTAAGAATATTCTGTGGTCCAGTAAGAATATTCCATGGTCCAATAAAAATATACTGTGGTCCAATAAGAATATTCTGTGGTCCAGTAAGATTATACTGTGGTCCAGTAAGAATATTCTGTGGTCCAGTAAGAATATACTGTGGTCCAGTAAGAATATACTGTGGTCCAGTAAGAATATTCTGTAGTCCAGTAAGAATGTACTGTGGTCCAGTAAGAATATACTGTGGTCCAATAAGAATAATCTGTGGTCTGGTAAGAATATTCTGTAGTCCAGTAAGAATGTACTGTGGTCCAGTAAGAATATACTGTGGTCCAGTAAGAATATTCTGTTGTCCAATAAGAATAATCTGTGGTCCAGTAAGAATATTCTGTAGTCCAGTAAGAATGTACTGTGGTCCAGTAAGAATAATCTGTGGTCTGGTAAGAATATTCTGTAGTCCAGTAAGAATGTACTGTGGTCCAGTAAGAATATTCTGTGGTCCAATAAGAATAATCTGTGGTCCAGTAAGAATATTCTGTGGTCCAGTAAGAATATACTGTGGTCCAGTAAGAATATTCTGTGGTCCAATAAGAATAATCTGTGGTCTGGTAAGAATATTCTGTAGTCCAGTAAGAATGTACTGTGGTCCAGTAAGAATATACTGTGATCCAGTAAGAATATACTGTGGTCCAGTAAGAATATTCTGTGGTCCAGTAAGAATATTCTGTGGTCCAGTAAGAATATTCTGTGGTCCAGTAAGAATATACTGTGGTCCAGTAAGAATATTCTGTGGTCCAGTAAGAATATTCTGTGGTCCAGTAAGAATATTCTGTAGCTCAGCAAAAATATACTGTGGGCCAGTAAGAATATTGTGTGGTCTAGTTAGAATATTGTGTGGTCCAGTAAGAATGTACTGTGGTTCAGTAAGAATATTCTGTAGCTCAGCAAAAATATACTGTGGTCCAGTAAGAATTTTCTGTGGTCCAGTAAGAATGTACTGTGGTTCAGTAAGAATATTCTGTGGTCCAGTAAGAATATTCTGTGGTCCAGTTAGAATATTCTGTAGTTCAGTAATATTCTGTGGTTCAGTAAGAATATTCTGTAGTTCAGTAAGATTCTGTGGTTCAGTAAGAATATTCTGTAGTTCAGTAAGATTCTGTGGTTCAGTAAGAATATTCTGTAGTTCAGTAAGATTCTGTGGTTCAGTAAGAATATTCTGTGGTCCAGTAAGAATATTCTGTGGTCCAGTAAGAATATTCTGTGGTCCAGTAAGAATATTCTGTGATCCAGTAAGAATATTCTGTGGTCCAGTAAGAATATTCTGTGATCCAGTAAGAATATTCTGTAGCTCAATAAGAATATTCTGTGGTCCAGTAAGAATATTCTGTAGCTCAGTAAAAAATATACTGTGGGTCAGTAAGAATTTTGTGTGGTCCAGTTAGAATATTGTGTGGTCCAGTAAGAATATTCTTTGGTCCAGTAAGAATATTGTGTGGTCCAGTAAGAATATACTGTGTCCACAAATAAAAGCTCATTGAGTCAACACCACTAAAGATAGGATAAGATTGTGTACAGATTTTTAACCCTGGTAGGTTAGCCACCCAGGATGCCCCAAGAAAGTCAGTGCATCATCAAGGACTGTCTTATTTCCAATGGGGTCCTTAAATCTTGTCCCCCAGGATACCACCCACACCAGTCGATTATCACCCGGGTACCTACTTGCTAGATGAATGGGACAACAGATGTAAGGAAACACACCCCAATGTTTCCACCCATGCCAGGAATCAAACCATGAACACTCAGTGTGTAGGGCGAGTGTGTTGTCTACTAGGCCACGGGACACTGGTGATTTTCACCACCTATGGTGTATAAATATACCTAGTTGGATGAATCTTATTGTAGCCAGCTGGCTCAGTGGCTAATGCATTGGTCTGGAGTTTTACAATCTCTACCACAGGTTCAAGCCCTGCCTGTGGTATGGTTTAGTTAATTAACGCTAGAGGTGGAATGAGCCAACATTAGGCTAAAAGAATAAAGTAAGTTCTAAGTTCTTTGTTTCCTTCCCTCCTTTATTATTATTTTGTATATAATAAAGTGTTAATTGCTTCTCATATTGATGATTTCTTCTGCTGATACTGTAAAGTCGCTAGCTCTCCTTCAGTGCTTCTTTTTCTTGTCTTTAGACTTACTTGACTTCTACTTCTACCACCACCACTACTACTACTACATTACTACTACTATTGCCTTGCTTTATTTCCCTTTCTGTCTACCACTACTCCCCTTACTGCTGTTTTCACTACCAGCATTACCTCTACCACTACTTCTCCACTTCCTCTCTCAGTTCCCCTCTCCTATATACATAGTGGACTTTTGGTTTTCTGCCGTTCCGCTTATTGGCCATTTTTTTGGCTCCTGGTTATCAGCCGTTATTTCGCTTATCGGCCGTGTGGTACACGTGGTACACTCTGGGCGAGTGAGGAAGCTTCTGCTCATTCATCCAAACATTTTACTATAATTCATTGGTTTTCGTGGTTATCGATTAAGTGCAACTGGGAAATAAGTAACCATGGCCCCAAAGAAAGTTCCTAGTAAAGTTCCTTAGGTAAAGAAAGTGAGAAACATGATGGAATTTAAGAAAGTTGTTGAAAAATATGAGAGTGGTGTTCAAGTGCTAGAACTTGCCAGGATGTATGGGATAAACAAATCAACAATCACTTCTCTCCTGGCAGAGAAAGAACAAACCAGGGAAGCTGATGTGGCGAAAGGAGTAAATGTGCTAACCAAACAAAGGTCACCGATAATGGAAGATATGGATAAGTTGTTGGCTTTGTGGATCACCGAAAAACAATTAGCGGGAGATAGTGTTGCAGGGTGAGAAGGCAAGGCAGTTGCATGCAGATCTTGTAAAGATTTAGTGGATTTAGGGCCAGCCAAGGCTGGTTTGAGTGATTTAAGAAGTGTAGTGGTATATACAGTGTGATAAGGCATGGGGAGGCTGCAAGTTTTGACAAATGTGCAGCTGAAAACTTTGTGCAGGAATTCAAGGGGTATGTAGAGGCTGAAGGATTCCTCCCCCAGTAAGTCTTCAGTTGTGACGAAACAGGCCTGTTTTGGAAGAAAATGCCAAAGAGGACCTACATTATACAGGAGGAAAAAGCACTGCCAGGACACAAGCCTATGAAAGACAGGCTTACTCTTTTGTTCTATGCTAATGCTATTGGGGATTTCAGAGTGAATCCTTTACTGGTGTATTACTCTGAAAATCCCAGTGTGTTCAAGAAAAACAAAGTCATCAAGAATAGATTGTGTGATGTGGAAAGTTAATTTAATAAGGCATGGGTCACAAGGCACATTTTCAAAGAGTGGGTCAATGATGTGTTTGGCCCCAGTGTGAAAAAATACCTCCTGGAAAAGAAATTGCCACTTAAGTGCCTCCTGGTACTGGACAGTGTTCCTGCTCATCCTCCAGACTTGGAAGACCAATTGTTTAGGGACTTCCATTTTATAACAGTGAAGTTCTTGCTTCCTAACACCACTCCTCTCATCTGGCCCGTGGACCAGCAGGTCATTTCTAACTTCAAAAAACTACACAAAAGCAGTGTTTCAAAGGTACTTTGAAGTGACATCGGACATTCATTTGACCCTAAGAGAGTTCTGGAGGAATCACTTCAGTATCCTCCATTGCATAAGCCTTATAGGTAAGGCTTGGCAAGGAGTGACTTCCAGGACTTTGAGAAATTGTGGCCAGATTGTGTCCAAGAGAGGGATTTTGAAGGGTTTGGGGCTGACCCTATGCCTGTTGTGGAATCTATTGTGGCACTGGGGAAGTCCATGGGGTTGGATGTGAGTGGCGAGGATGTGGAAGAGTTGGTGGAGGACCACAGGGAAGAACTAACCACTGAAGAGCTGCCAGACCTTCAACTGGAACAGCAGCAGACTGCAGCTAAGGAAATTGCTTCAGAGGAGGAAGGAGAGAGAGGGGAGAAGGTGCCTTCTTCAGTGATTAAGGACATGTGTGCAAAGTGGAATGAGTTGTAAAGTTTTGTTGAAAAGTATCACCCTGACCAAGCTGAAACAAGCCATATCTGCAATATGTTCAGTGACAAAACCTTGTCCCATTTCAGGAAAATCTTAGAGATGCCAGAAACAGAGCACTCTGGACAGTTATATGTGACAGGGGTCCAGCGACTCTCAAGCTGATCCTGGTGGCATTAAAAGACAAAGAAGGGAAGTAACCCCAGAGAGGGACTTGCTACCTAAAGTCCTTATGGAGGGGGATTCCCCTTCTGAACAATAACCCCAACTCCCTCTTTCCTCCTCCCTATCTTCCATAAGCCAACAAGAGTCTTCAATAAAGGTATGTAATAGTGATTTAATTGTTCATGTATTTATTTTATTTAGTTCTCATTGTTTCGTGTATGTAAAGCTATAATTAATCTTCAAAAAATGTATTTTTTGTTAATATTTTTAGGTGTCTGAAACAGATTAATTGTATTTACATTAATTCTTATGGGAAATATTATTTTGGTTTTAGGTTGACCTTCTGGAACGGATTAAATTAATTGAAAAGCCATTAATCCATTCCGGTGGAATTCTTGCTCTCAGAGGGAGGAAAACTACACTTCAACATAATACTAATATCAACTCTATGGCTTATTTATCTATCAAATTTGATCTAATATGCATTGTTGTGGTATTCACTGCCATCTAGTGATGGCCTTTCGAAGCCATCTATTATTATAATTATTATTATATTATTATTATGGTGAGATGCCAGGTGCTCCTCTTTGTAGTTAAGGCAAGAGAGAGGGTGGCTGCAGGATGGACTACTATGGTCAGCTGCTCCACACATGGGGCATTCTGCCACTGACCTGCAATATTTTGCCGGGTGGGCAAAGTGCCAGCATTTTCTACTTTGTTGCGGGGTAGGAATCATCTCCTGAACATGTGGGTGTTGTCCTACTATGTAAACTGATGGTGGCAGTTCATGGCTGTCAAAAGTTAGTCCCACTATATTGCAAGGATGGCATCTCTGCCAGGAAGTAAGTGTCAACTTTAATGATTGTGAGATTCTGGACCTCGAGTTGCTCCAGATTGTCTTCATTATGCATGAGAAAGTCATGTTGTACAATTGTATGTGGAAAGACAATAGATCCACAGCTAGAATCAAGGGAGATGTGCTTGCGCATCGTAACTGGTGCGTTGTCAACAATGTCCAAAGGTGAAAGATTGTGTGCCTGTTCTGCATTTTGTACTGTGACAATGTGTGTGCCACTCTTAAGAACATGGAAGGAAATGTTCTGCCCAACATGGAGAAGGGGTGTCTTGCTGATGCTGTGGTTGGTAAGATAGTCAGTAGAAGTTGGTTGGAGCGTAAAGAATTTTGTCAAAGGACTTTAAAACATAGGGTGTAAGGGAAGGAATTGCTTAGTTGTACATTTCTTAGAAGCACGAGAGAAAACCGAGGTAGGATCCTCTGTGACAGGTCAAGGCCTTTTGGACGGAAGGTTAGAGGCAGATCATCCAGTCGTGTGTACAGTTCAAAAATTGACACACTGTATGTGATGAAGCTGGGATCATAGTCTAAGCTGCGCAGAGGCCAGAAGTGTCTGAAGAGTCAGTCAAAACCCTAGTACCAGAGGAGGGTAACAGACTGTTACCCAGAGAAGATACCAGGTTGGAAGAGAGGTCTGAAGAATGGTCTGTAAGGGGTGTTGCAGGAAAGGGTTTGGGAGGAGGTAAGTAATGGGTATGGGTCACCATGATAAGTTTCTCTTTTTTTATTAAAAAAAAAAAAGGGGGGGGGGGAATGTGGAGGAATAGTTTTCAGGAGGAATGAAAGGGATTGTATATTCCTCTCTGCACCCAAGAGAGCCCTCAGTACAGTTGCTACATGAACATTAAAATGGTATAAAATACCGACAGGTTGTTAGGTAAGACATATGCAACAGTTAGGTATCTTTATTTCGAGAAATAAAGATACCTAACTGTTGCATATGTGTCTTACCTAACACACAGTTGCTACATGGAACCTGTGCCATACCCTACCCTTCATGCCAGTAAACCAGCAATCCAGGATGGCAACCTCACATCCACCAAACCACCTTGGTGGACAAGAGAGAGGGTGGCCCAAAATCTGCCACAAGGCATATCTCCATTAGCCACCACCTTCCAGAACCGTCAGGCAGCCTCCAGACACACCTGTCACCCGAAGGATACCCTTAGCCACCTTCCTGAGAACTCCGTAGGGGGCTCAAGACATCCCCAAATGACTCAGATTCTATGGCAACCGCCACCAAAGACCTCAGTGGAATGGGAAGGACATCATCCTTTCCCCAACCTAGGAGCTGGAATTTCTGAGGGAATGACCCCAAAGTTCAAAAGCAGGAAAGGAAGGAGAAGGGAGGGATGGGGAAAGGAGGGATGGTAAGGAAAGGGTAGGGGAGAGGGGGTAATTAGGTTTGGTTGGAGGAAGAAGACAAAGGTCCAATTCCTTAGACCAAGAGCCTCTTCACCACATCAAAGAACTCCCCCTTGAAGAAGTGGAGATTCTTAGCTGCTCTAGAGTCAAAGAATTGGATCATCCTTCCCTCTTGGATTAAACCTAATTTTCTATGCCCAAAGTGTTGTAATTCCTTTATGTTCAGTACTTCCCTCTAAACATAATACTATCATATATAATCAACTTAGAATCAGCAATGAACATGGGACTGTAAGAGAGAGTAGTGAGAATGTCCAGGTGTAGAAAAACTTGAGGGATATTAATACTATGAGCCATGGTAAGGACAAATAAAACTTCCAATACAAGAACAATTATTATTTGGAAAATATCCAATGACTTAAAAAATAAATATTTAAAAAAAAATTTCCTTTGCAAGCTAAAAATGTTCAAGTGTTATTGTAAGAATGTGAGTAACATGAAGTATGGCTACCTGTCACTCTTCACTGTCACATTAATGTTAACCTAGCTATAACACTACTATATTATCTTAGTGGAAATTCCCAGAACTTGGTTGACAGTGAGTGCTGCTGTCTGTAATACTCAGTGGGTCAACTGACAGTGGGTTAAGCTGACAGTAGGTCAGCTAAAGACACTAACAGTGGGTCAACTGGAAATGGAAAACAATGATCCACAAGAGTAACATAAAATGCAACGTACTGTTTGTGACGGTTCCCTCGCTCGATGATCAACGAGGCTTCAGGGTCGACCAAGCTGGGTCGTGACATAGTATCCGAAATTTAGAAGAAACTACCAATGGCGTTTTACCATTTATGGACTCTTGTTTTAAGACACATTGTTATACTGAACCACTAACCCTGAGGACTGGACCGTGGGGGGGTCATAGCCTTCGCCAACAATAGGTATGTCGATGACACCCTGGTAACGCCACAACAGGTAATAATACCATTCATATTCATCTTACTTCCCTGAGTTCTTGATAACATCAGAATTGTTTCACAATTCTGTAAGTGTAGTATTGGGTTTTACATATCTAGAGTTTACAATCCTATATTGTTCTAACTTTCTTTTATTAAAACAAGTTACTGGTGATATGAAATTACTAGAATCATAGTTGATATTACCAGAACCAGCCATGGTGTGCATTACAAGCTTCCAGTATGTGATGGCTTTATTCACCTATATTAATCTCACATTTAAAAGTAAATGAAATGGTGATTTTGGTGTTTAAGTGTGTTTTGAATTTATTTCATTCACAAAATGTGTTTAACCCACATGGGTCCTTCAGCACCAATATTTTTTCTAATGAACATTTTATGATAGTTTGCTACACAAGTGCCTCAAAAACCTGTTTGATACTTATACAATATGTGTAATAGTTATGCTTGCAATATGAAGGAGTTACTACAGTAATGTATTGTCACTGTTGGCTCACAAATAAAATTAATATTGTAGGAATTTTTTCATTTTAATTGTAAAATTATTCGTAATTTTTTCATAAAAAAAAAAAAAAAAAAACTGCTTGGAACCTGTATATTATAAAGTCTGAAGAACCATTATGTAGTAGCAGAGTACCTAATATATATATATTATAAATATAAAAACTTTCAAAAAATTATAGACATTTTGTGTGTAGATTAGTCGCTGAGGGAATCATGTACCATCGTACCTCGCTTCCCTAGTACAGTGGACCCCCGGTTAACGATATTTTTTCACTCCAGAAGTATGTTCAGGTGCCAGTACTGACCGAATTTGTTCCTATAAGGAATATTGTGAAGTAGATTAGTCCATTTCAGACCCCCAAACATACACGTACAAACGCACTTACATAAATACACTTACATAATTGGTCGCATTCGGAGGTGATCGTTATGCGGGGGTCCACTGTACTTTCTTTCACTCTTTATTACAAAATAGGAAGATACTGGGTGAGCATTAACTGTAGTAACGTGCAGTCACACCTTGAGTCTTGTTCATCACCTCAAGTAATAACTTAAACACCTCAATATTCTGCTTGTCCAACTTCAAGCTCTATTCACACATAGAGTGTGCAGTAACTAATTATAACAGAGTCATGAAGGTTAAGACTAAGAGTTTGTGCTTCCAGGACACTGTCAAATGAGAACAGGAGGTCACTGACACTTTTTCTTATTTGTTTCCTTTCTCAAGTCTGTGTGATTACTAAGGCCTAACTCTTTTAGTAGCTTCACAAAGAGGTTACGGAGCACTACGCCACACTTGTACTCCTCAGTGTGAGCTCTGTTGTACAACTCACAGTTCTGGAACACCAGACCAACATCAGCAATAAACTCGCCATCTGTCGTATACTTCATGTTGGTCAGCTTGTCTCGTATTCTTCTCATGTCCATCGGCTTCTTTACAACATCATAATAGTCAGGAGCCTGTTGGAGAAGTAGGTACACACGTTAAGTAGATTCAGTTAAGCAAAAACGTATCTCTGGCATAGAAGAATATTCAGAGGCAGCAAGGATGGTGCTCTAAATGTATGGGGGGCATGGGAGGGAAGAGCTTCTACATTGTGTATGTACATGTGTGCAGTTAATTGGGTCCTGTACAAGAGACTGAATACCTATCAAAGCTGAGGACTGACGACCTTAAAATTACCTCTGCACTTCTACCACTGTCTCGTGTTACAGTCACCTCTGTAATTGACTGAAGCCTGCTGCACAGGTGAAAAGTTTCTGGCAATAAAGATACTCAAGTGTTGCTCATGTGTCTTATTCATTAACCTCTTGTATTATATACCATTTATAAGCTACCCCCCCCCCCACCACCATCACTACCACTTCCCCACTACCAAGTGGTAAAAATAAACCACATTTCCTTACTAAATTACAACAAACATACTTGGGCTTACCACAAATATGCAAAACAAACATTACTTTCTCAAATGTATTCATCTTTAACCCTTTCAGGGTCCAGAGGCCAAATTTCAAAGTGTGCACCAGGGTCCAAGAATCTTTTTCTGAAGGTAATAAAACAAAAAGTACAAAATTTGATGGAAAAATGATGAAATTATGTTCTCGCGAATTTTGATGTGTCAGCGATATTTACGCATCGGTGATTTTGCTGACTTTGACTCCCATTTTAGTCCAATTATATTATTCCAGTCGAACAAATTCTTAGCTATTTCACTAGTATTACTTCTATTCTATCGATTGAGCACAAGAATTCGCCAAGTCAACTGTTTCAACTACAAAATAAAGTGATTGATAATTTGGCCAATTTAATGCGAAGTTCAAAATACTCCAATTTCAAAATAGGGTCCAGAATAAACAATGTTGGCATTCCTGGCACTAAACTAACATTTCCGCTGTTCATTAGTTATGTTTTCAGGCTTTACAAATGAATTCCATTTTTATTTTTTATTCCCATAATAAATTTCTATTCGAACCAAATAACATAATTTACTGTTATGCAATATTGTAATAATTGTATAAATAATATCACCACATTTGTGAACATATAGTAGACCCACCAGCTGGCGTGTATTAGACGTGTGAGGTCATTTGTTTACTCTTGAACATCGGCAAAAATTTAATATTTCCGCTACTTTGAGCTCAGTTTCAAGCCATTTTCAGTACTAAAACCAATCAAAATCATCTATATTTCTGTAATATATCTTCCATTCTATCAAATGAGGCCAAGAAATCGCAAATATAACCATAAAAAACATACGAAAAAACACTGCAAAGTTGCTGTCTTAATCGAAAATTATGGTCTGTTTTTTTTTCTCCCATTATGCACTGTGTGCTGCAGGATATGTTTTATGCAGTGCACACATACCACATAGATGTATTCTCTCGTATCTAGGCCCAAATTTACTGCTCACAGTTTATCAGAGTGAGCTGAGCACATGGCGTAGATCTACGGTTTGGACTCTCAACGTAAAGTTGTAGATCTGCAGCACGGACCTTGAAAGGGTTAATCAAGAAAAATACATTATAATAAAATATTGCAAGAGGCTGTTACTGGAGGTTTATTGGCCAACCAAATTAATTTGAATCAAAGGGAAAGTGCTAAACCCACAAGGGACATGTAGCACCTGGGGAATAGGAGGCATTCAAGTTTAATCCAAGGAGGAGAAGGCTAAGTCCAGTTCTTTGGATCAAGAGGAGCTCTCCAGCATCAAGGCACCTTTGAGGGAAGGTTGACCAGGGCTTACATTGTAGCGAAGAAAATGTTCTCTCACTCACTCTCTCTCTTTCTCTCTCAAGTCATACATCATCACCTTAACTCCTGATAATATGAATCTTCATGCAACACTAACTCAGCATGAAACCAAGACATGACTAACCAAGCACTCATATTACTGTGCCTACCACATACACAGAACATTATTCTTCAATATTAACCCTCCTCTCAAACTTTTTCTTGAGAACTACAACAGAATGTACTTGCATAACACAAGACATAAAATTCTCTTTGATATTCCTTGTGTCCTTCTCTCCCCATGCAAAATTGCTATGCATATAAAGGGCCCTAAGATCTGGAATTCATTGCCCAAACATACAAAACCTTGATAATAACCCATATGCAACATCCTTTCATTTTTTATACCACTGGTAGTGTCATCCTGCCAGAATGACCTATAACCTATGCCCTAAGTAAAGAGAAACAATTCAGGAACATGTGTAATATGTGTTTGGCAGGCCATCTGGCTGGGTGGGTTTGGGTAGCTGGCTGGCTGGCTGATTGACTGGCTGTCTCTATCTCCGTCTGTCTGTATCTCTGTCTTTGTCTATCTCTGTCTCACAGGTACACATAAATATAATTATTATTCATAGGATAACCCAAAAAATCCAGACAGTGTTATACTGTGCTTTTAGATCTAAGGCATAACAAGCATGACTGGCAAGTATTACACATTTTCACTTGTTCAGGAATCAGATGTGACTACTCTGCATTGTTGTGTACTACCTATTCATTCTTGAGCTGCTCTCTGAGACAGAAAATGAGACAAGCAGAGAGACAGGAAGACAGAGAGACTGAAAACAGGAGACAGAGATAAACAGAGCTGGACAGACAGGAAGATAGACAGACATGTTTATGTGTAACAGTGATAACAAATAAAGCCAAGGCAGTGCACGATCATCATATGTCACTCCACTGCTACACTGTCACCAGTGGAAATTTTTTTTTTTTTTTTTTCAAAATATTCGGAGCGCTGTGCGAGAGAACGTAGATCTATGTTTGGACAATTAAGGGGTTAATCAATCAATTGTTAATTCAATTACAGGCTCTCCTCACTTAGCAACGTACTCGTTTACTGATGCCTCGGACTTACGACGAGCTCTCTGACCAGTATGCATACATAAATAATGTATACTAGAGCTGATTTTCTCTATTCTGTTTATTACAATATACAGTACACTACTGTACAAACATTTAAAAATATACCAGAACTGTTATAAATGGTGGAAAGGTGACATTAAAACAATATCAAAGATAGCTGACACAAACCCACTACCATGATAGTATGCTCCTCACTTATTGACGAGTTCGTTTACCGATGTGGTCTTAGGAACGGAACTCCATCGTAAGTGAGGAGAGGCTGTACTGCTAAACCACTACTACCTCTGTTGAAATATAAAAAACAATGTTCAATTCAAACCAACTATGATATATTCCTAGTAGTATGTTAAGCATTAAGTTTAGTCTGCCCAAAATGCCCCAGCATGATAGTGTCTTTCTTTGTACTCAGCAAAGCAAAACTGTAATTACACATTGTAAATTATGCAAAGAAATAAAATCCTTATTCCCTTGTGTGCACACACACGTGTACACACATGCACGCTCGCACACACATACACGTGTACACATGCACGCACATGTGTATACATGTACACAAATGCATACATGCACGCACGCATGCACACACAGCCTGAGTCAGCAACTAGCTCCCCACACTAGAAATCCATAAGCAAAAAAAGTTTAAATGGTCAGCCACCTTTTAAAACTTCATTGCAACTGCCAAGTTGCTTCTCCTTGAATCTTGATCTTGGAAACAAAATTTTCATCATGATATACTGAATACAAGAGTTGCAGGTGTACAAATTGTGGGGGACTATGGCACTTGCTTATTTATTTTGCCTCTGTCAATTCTCCTAAAGTTAATCTTGCTAAACATTTCTTAAGATAGCTGGGTAATGAGGTGCACAACAGCATTACCCAAGCATTCTTAAGAATGCCTGGGTAATGCTGCTATGCACCTCAGTGAGGTTGTGTATTGTGCAGTACATGAAATTGTTCTCTGATTAGAGCTTCATTGTTTGTGAATATCAAATATGGCATATCAATCCTAGCTCACATTGAGAAATGCAGTAGCTGTCAGTGTCACACACTGTGATGCACTGAATATGAGGGTCAAGGAACTATCTAGTACAACTGTATGAGATGTTTCTCAGACCCAACACATCTCAGAAATTTACTGAATTAATTTATAAATTTAAAAAACTTTTATCTGACATCAAAATTATTACCAATATCTAGGAAAGACTCAAGCCTAGGAAACACAAGTTAGGTCTACTCTCAAAAACACTAGAGTAAACTTGAAGCAAGTTTTTGTCTGTACACTTACAATTTTCTTGGAGACTGGCCTCATGAAGGGCCAGCTTGCTGGGTGCCGCTGAAGTTCATCCAGTATGGTCTCCAGAGCTGGGCAGTTGAGCTCACTGTCTTCGTTGACCAGTGAACGTCTACCACTGCTTCGTTTCGGTGGTATCCAATCTATAAAGATAGAATCAAAATAATTTTTTTTTATCATATAGGGAAAAAAGTAAGAGTGTAACAGAGTTTGTGGAAGCTGATAAAACAGATTGTATAAACAATGCTAGTAAACCTGAATAAAAGTTATGAAAGCCTAAGCAATATTACAATTTTAATATATGTATCAAAAGATAAAAAGGCTACACTCAAATAATAAAAGTGAGAGGTAAACTGCCTCAACACAACAAAAATATGTTGCCCTGCGAGAGGTAACTCGATTAAGGATGACAGAGTTGGTCATCTCCACCATGGTTTCAGTAATCATGGACTCGATGTTGTCCTCTGGCAGGTAACTTAACTACCTAAAATGAGGATGCACACATGACCTACACAATACAAGGTTGGACATGTCCCACTCTGTATAGATCCAGACTTAACTATCGATGTACTAGCATGTGTGGGATGACACTCAGCAGTTCCCAAGAGAACATGTATTGTTCCTGGTGTTCAAGGTTCAGACTCGTATTCTTTAATATCTAAATTTCTATGATGCAACAATCTATTTTTATTAAACAATCAATAAAAAAGAACATCAAATAAGTATTAAACTGTCTAATTCTTGTTATAAACAGAGAAGCACCTAATGTACAGCATTTAAACTAGTATCATACAGCATTTAAATTAGCATTAAAGATTAGTAAGTTTATTCAGGTACAGGTACACATAAACAGTTACATAAATTATCATACATAGCAGCATATATTTAGATTACTTAGGATAACCCAAAAAAGTCAGACAAGTTAATATTTTAACATTTATCATGAGCTATAATTCCAACTATCAGAGAAGTATAACATGGATAAATGAGAATTTTATAGACACTGAAATCCCCACTAGCATTACCACAGAACAAAAGAGTTAGCCTATCCTTCATAGGCTTGTATCCTGGCAGTGCCTTTGCCTCCTGTGTGAAGTAGGTCCTCTTTGGCATTTTCTTCCAAAAGAGGCCTGTTTCATCACAACTGAAGACTTACTGACGGAGGAATCCTTCAGCCTCTATGTACTCCTTGAATTCATCAACGAATTCTTTGGACCCACATTTGTCCAAACTTGCAGCCTCGTCCTGCCTTACCACACTGTGTATGCCAGTTCGCTTTCTGAATTTGTCTAACCAACCTCTGCTGGCCTTAAATTCACTAACAGCAGCACTCGTTCCAGGTACGTGTATTTTCTTTGCGAGATCTGCATGCAACTGCCTTGCCTTTGTGCAAATTATCGCCTCCTCAACACTATCTCCCGCTAACTGTTTTTCGTTGATCCACACCAAAACAACTTCTCAACACTTTCGACTGTTTGTGATCTGTTTCGTTAGCACATTCACCCCTTTCGCAACATCAGCTTTCGGATGGAACTGATCATTGATGCAGACTTCCCAAACGTCCTGGCGAGATCGGTCATGCATATGCCACTTTTGTACTTTGCTACGAGTTCTTTCTTGAATTCTATTGCATTTTTCACCTTCTTTATCAAAGGGCTGGCACTCGGAACTTTCTTTGGCCCCTTGGTGGCTTATTTAGCAGTCGCACTCAATAAACAAGCACAAAAAAACAATGGATTATTACGAAATGTTTCAGATGAACATGCGGGGGTAATGCTCACTCAACGAGAAACAAAGCCAGACTGAGTCAGAATGCGTGGGATGTTTTTTGTGGGCGCGGGCAGGTGAATGTGTTTGGTACGGCTGACCATTGTCAACTTTACAAAAACTGAGTGGATGTATGAAAACTGGGACAAAATTTCGACGAAAAAAGTCGTCGAAGACCCAATCCTACGAAAACCAGGGCATACGAAAACCGAGGTTCCACTGTACTTATTGGTAAGTGTTAAACTAGTAAGATACAAGTCCCTGGATTAAGAGACCTTTGCTGGCATCAAGGCACTAATTTCACCCTTGAAAGGACAATATTGTTTTTATGGAAACCTGTGAATGATGTTTGTGTTGCCGAGTGCTTCAAGTGTGGTGATGTTAGGAGGTAGCAAGTGTGGAGGAACGGCTTGTGTGAGAGATCTATTGATCGATGGAGAGTGATGGCATGCAAGCTGCCAATCATGCAGAATATCACCACATTATGCCTCTCCAAAAGCAACACAATATGAACTACAACATCAAGTACTATTAAAGCCTTTGTCACACAAAGATACATCTACTCAGGCCACAGTAATGCCAAGTGTACACCAAACACTGAGGAAACAGTAACTAGAAAAATGCAATGACCAGGATAAAAGAAGACCAGTACGTGTGCAAAACACAACAGGTCTGGTGGAACAAGCAATCATCAGAGAAGCCTGGTCCTGGTCCTGGGTCCAGCTGCGAGGATACAAAAATTTGAAATATATCACAAATAAACTACACAACATGAACAATTCCTGAATCATACAGATGCATAAACCTACACACCTGATGTTCAAGTAGCTACCAAGGAGAGAACAACACAGCACAGATGCATGAAGGCTGCTCTAATCTGCACACACACAATACCATTCACCAGAGTAACTTCTATCACAAAAGCAGAATATTTCAGTGAAGGATTATTATTATAATAAAAAAGAAGTGCTAAACCTACAAGGTCACACAGCTTCAGTGAAGGATGACATGACACGACACAGTAGATATGGTGCAATGTTGCCCGGCTCCTCATGAACAACATCAGGATCTCACCCCACCGATCACTCGCCCTGACTGCTTGTTGCTTATCCATTTCAACCAGTACTGTCTATCAGTCATTTCTTTATACTTGAATGGAGGGCATGGATTTTTCACTTTCATGCTTCTTTAAGTTATACATGTTTACTTAGTGAACTGCTGCTTTATATCTGGGGTATTTTGCCCCAGCTAGAGTGTAAGTCTTGACCATAAATACAAATAATCTTACCATTCAATGTATATTAATCTGGTGATTTACACAGCTCTTATTCAAGCTCAATTATATTTATTTGAAGTACTGAAGCCACAGATCATACATCTTAAGAATGAGATGATCAAACTGTATTCAAGGGGAATTATATTATACAGTGTTTAGTGGGAAGTGCTAAACCTATAAGGAGGCAATGAGATTTGATTTAGAAGAGGGAGGCAGTTCCAGTTCTATGATCAAGAGACTTTCACCAGCATCAATACACCTTCCTTGAAAGGTTAATAATGTTGAATGTGAGCTAGCTGGTTCTCAATGAGAATGTTTTTCATCAGATTTAGATGACAAAAATCCTACATTATTATTATTTTCACAATGGCTAAACTCATTTGAGTTCCAAAGTGCTAAACAGTTAAGAAATACAAGTGTGCTAGGCTAGCTTTGTTGTTGTTGTTGGGGTTTATAGGGCTACTGACATTGTTCACAGTATCGAACTCTTCCTTCCAGTTCCTGGAAAAGAAACCTTAACCAAAGTAGATGAAAGATGACCAATGACCGTATTATATGTCCCCAATGCGCTCTGAAGCCAGTAAGAAGGCACAGATACAGGCCAGGATCTCCTGGTCTGTACCCCTACCCACTGAGGAGGAGGTAGGGTCAAAGACTGCACCCTGAATGTGCACAAAGCCACACGGAGGAGAGTCCATGCAGTGGTAACAGGCACCACAGTAGGAAGTGTTCCACCGTCTCAAGCTGAAAGGGACACCATGGGCAGGACGAAGAGTCTGTCATCCAAAGGCGATGATATGAGCTGCCAGCTATGAATATTCAACCCGGAGGCAAGTCAGTGCAACATCCACTGAGCAGCTGGGATGGCAAGCCCAAGGGAAGGGGCCACTGAAAGACTGGACTGAGCTCAATGCTGAAGAAGAAAGGGAGCATGCCAGATCTCCCTCCCATTAATGACGGATTTTCCTTCAAACAGTCCTTGTGAAATCACTGTGGCCCAGTGCAAGAGGGTTAATGGTAGGAAGTGTGTGCAAGGGAGGCCTCTCGATCCCACTAAAGGGAGATGCTCCAACCCGGACTTCGCAAAAAGTGCGAAAGAAGCTGCATTTGTTGGATGAGGAAATGGAAGAACTGTGGACGGCTAGAATACAGAAGTTCCAGGGAAGATTGGGAATCAGAGAAGAGAACCACAGGCTGAGGAGGAAGGTGAGAAAGGGCAAAAATCAAAGCCTGGTGAATGGCGAAGAGCTCCCCTCCAATGACCAAGTGAACTGCCAGGTCTGACACAGAAAAAGATCAGTGCTGAAGTTAATGCTGAGCCATCTGTGTAGATGGAGAATGAAGAACAATATATGAAAGCATGAAACTCTTCAAAGTGAAATGCTGCCATCTAAGGAGTCTCCCTGTACCTGCATGGCCAATCCAAATGGATGTACCTTTCAAGGTCCATCCACGGGGACACAAGGGAGTGGAGACGGGAGGGAGTCAGCACTAGCGCAGGGAGTGAGAGTTAGGCAGGGAACATCAGGCCCTGGCCATAAAGGAAGGCTGAACCAAATGTTGGGGGGGGGGGGGGGACAGGGACTACCACCCACACCTGTGGAGAGGCAGCAGGGATGAGTTACAAGGTAAAGAGGCCACATGATGGAGTCGCAAGCAGTCCCTCACCATTCTCACCGATGAGAGGGAGACTATCCCAGACTTTGCTTCCAAGGCTGCAATGGGGGTTGAGGGAAATGCCCCTAACATACTGCAGAGGGCTGAATTCTGGAGAATGTCCAGGCGGCAACAAAGAGGGAGAGGCTGAGCCATATACCTCACTTGCATAGGTGAGCTTGCTATGAATCACAGCCATACAGAATCCGACAAGGACATCTCGATCTTCCCCTACTTAGTGCCAGAGATCCAATGCATAAGCACCATGCAGTGTGCACAGGAGAAGTGGAGGGCTATTATATGCTGCCTCTATGTCAAGAGTGGGGCATCCAAGGCGACACCCAACCATCGATGAGAGGAGACCAATGGAATCGGCGCCTGACCCAGTGAACCAATGGGAAGAGAGAGGCATCGCTTAGTGAAGCATAAGAGGTGAGACTTGGT